ATAACAGGAATCGGTGATTGCTGTAAGCAATACTTGGAGACGGAGCCTGGTAGCAATCCTTGCATACCACCCAGATTACGGCCCCTTGTTCCCACAATGAGGATAGCGGGTTCGTAGATTCTGATCATGCGTTGAATGATGTCCTGGACTTTGCCAACAGCCAACTCCAGGACCAAGCTGATCGCTTTCTCGTTCTGGGTGTTTTTCTGGATCACTTGTTCGAACAGCTTCTCTGCTTCCTTGCGGTATTTTCCCGCCTCGACTGCGGCGTCACTCGCGATACTGGAGTCCTTTTCCACCGCACGGAGACAGACGATCTCGTCGCCATCGTCAACCAACTCATCGATGAGCCACTCGAGCGCGAAATCGGAATAGTCGTTCTGATCTGTGCCGCAAAGGAATGTCCGACTGCGTCGCGTGCTCTGGTATCCTTTGTGTTTGTAGTTCAGAGTCAAGGAGAAATCTGCCGCATCAGGATTATCAAAGGTATCGAAGGAGACGCCCCGCTCGTAGGTCCTAAGCAGTCAGCAAATTAGAGATGATATCAACCAGGACAAGTATGTAGTAACACTTACTTGGGTGGAGGAGGGGATGGGCCGCGCACAGCAGCACCAACAACAGGTCTAGCCTCCCTCTCAGCAGGCACCTGTGAAGGCGAACGCCTGCGATCTGAGACACTAGCCGAGCGACTGGGAGGCAGGGATTCGAAACCGCCAATATTAAATGAAATAGACTTCCTCCTAGAGTCTCCACGTGAAGCTCGCGTGGTAGAAGCGGTCCTGGGACGGACAGGGAGTGGCTCGTTGCCGTCCAGTGAAGGAAATGACATGACGAGGGAAATGCGCCCGGGTGGGTTTGGGAGTGAGGGGGTGGGAAGAGGGGTTTGTGGTGGTACTTCTTATCGGAGGTTATGTTGTTCGAGATGATGTAGCCTGTTGCAAAGAATACAGGATGACAACCGGAGATTAACAAACTCAAATGGGAGAGTTGCTCAGCCACCGTGAAGCTCCAGACGTTCTGCCAGTGGTACGATGCGCAAGACGCAGACCATGGTTTGGCGGTACAGGATATCGGGGCTTATCAGGATAGAGCTCCCCGGGCAGGTTATGCTTGGAAGGCGAGCTCAAACGGGAGGACTGGATAGGAAGACTCGGTTGATGCAGATGGTAAGATGGATATATGGATGCTAGTAGAGAGAGTAGCTCAGTCACTGAGAAAGAAGGGAACAGAGAGAAGTGGGATCAAGTCGTCACTCGGTGCGGAAGCCGGAAGTGGAATGAGAAGCACAAAATCCGGAAAGGAGAGGAGGAGATCCTCCAAGCGGGGCAGGGCGGTGAAAGGGGGGTTTACTCAATGATGTTATAACTGACAACTTTTACAGTATGACAGTATGATGTTTAACTAACTAATGCATCACGGGACGAAGTCATTGGTACACAAGAGGACAAGCATCTGGCAAGTAAGTAATGCTAGTTACAGGAACAGACTGACTGCAAAGGTCATACAACACCACCAGCTACCCCTCTCTTCCTCCTGCCGGCAAAATAGTCTATACACACTCACCCAGCACGCACTACCTTCCACACTCCTGAATGGTCAATTAATTATCGCAACTCGAGGGATTATCACGAAGAGAGAAAAAATAACAATAAAGTACCAAATAAACGAATATCTGCCCAACTATGGAGTACACTGTCCTACACCTCGCAACGCGAATGAAACTAACAAGCCCCATCACCATGAGGGAGATAAATTCTCCTATCTAGAGTGAATAAATAGTCTGATTGAGACTGACCCACATCAACGGCCACTCTAATTTTTCTTCAGGGTCTAACCAAGCGAAAGAAAAAAAATTTTCGGAGAGAACGGCAGAGATCAGAACCGAGTACCAGAAAAGTTCACATGATCGGAGATGCACTAATTATCGACTCCGTATGTGATGTGAATAAAGTATCTAGCCATGGACATCCGTCACCCGAACCTTCCGGACAAGGGACGGACGGGATGGGATAGCCTACTTAACTTGCTTTGGGTTATCAAGGGACAAACAAACTCTACGGAGTACGGAAGACTCCCAAAGTAAGTAATGAAGGTGAAGGTCAGGATCGGCAGTGATGATCCGCGCGGCGGATCGATCGCCCATGTGATGCATCACGGGGCGGTGTGCTCAATAGTAGTCCACTGTGTCGAACAAGTCGGGGTCTGGATGGGGATAGCGAGAGGTGAGTGTAGCTGAGGAGTGGATGGGCGGGCGATCGGCACTGCCATCCCGGTTCTGGCCCAGCCAGCGGAGTTGGGACGGCGATGTGTCGGACTTGCACTATTTACTAGCAAAGTACTTTGCCCAGGGCCAGTCGGTCATGGTCGCCCAATGTATTCGCATCAGGCGAGGCCTAACCTGACTAGTCGCGGTCCAAGAAGTGGAGACAGGCACGACTAAAATCATCTATCAATCGGCTATTGACGGCCATGTGGGCTGGTCTTAATCTACGGTGAAGATCAAATCTCATCAAGGAAGTTTCGATGAAGAGCATATCTCTCTTATCTCTCTATTGGTCTTATTATGGAGCACGATGGAGGTTGTCTTTCTAGTAGTTTGATATTCATTCATCATGGGATTTCATCTAATATTGCCTCAAATGAGGACAAGTAAAAATAGTTCTCGACCGTCTATCCCTGCGGCCTAACTGTGGGGACCATATCGATCCAAGAAATAAAAAAGAGTAGAGAATCACTGCCCAAGCGCTCGGGCATGCAATGTAGATGATGCGATCTCGAACAATGCGAAACAGTAGTCTCAAATAAAAAAACAGAATGCCCAACCAGAATTTCCTTTTATCTTGTCGCAGATTAAAACGCCGGACCCGCTATGATAGTGGCGACTCGCCCAGAACAAAATCAAACTTTCCAGAACATTCATCAAATAGAGGGGGTATCACGTATGGTACATTGACGTAGTCGTCAATTGGCCGGGCACAATCAGTACGCCTCGATAATCGTGCTGCGTGCCTGGCCAGGGACGTAATACCCATTGTCGAGATCCGTAGGGGAGAGGGGGATCTCTGTGGTTTGAGGTTCCTTCTCGTTGAATGTTTCAAGGGTCGGTTGGGGAGGCGACGGCGGCATGGTATCGTCTTCTGATTCCCCATCCGAGTCGGACAGCAAGTCGGGAGGGGTTTGTCGGGAGGGTGAGCGGGTCAATGTCAATTCCTCCAAGTCTTCCGCGTCATCGTATTCAAAGTCCGAGTCAGAGTCGGAGTCGTAATCCTCCTCCACTTCCTTTTCGGTGATGATGGCGACCGGTGATGGGGCCCGCCGACGCACGGGGGTGTAGATGTGAGATTCATCTTCATATTCGTCTTCATCATAGTCGGAGTCGGAGTCGCTGACATCAGAGTCGGCGTCGGAGAGGTCCTCGGGGTCCCAGTCCTCCTCGGGATCTTCGACCACGGTTTCTGCCCATTGGATGTGTCGGGATTCTGAACCTTGCGAAGAGGTCTTGGTCACTCCGCTGACTGTCTGGTTGAACCAACGTTCTTGTTCTCTTTCGGCATCGGCTAATTCCAGCATCAGGGAATCCAGGAGGTTGGCATGGCCAACGAGGAGGCGGAGGTCATGGTCCGCCCGCGAAGCTTCCCGGGTGAGCTTCTTGCGGGCGGTGTGGGCGAGGTAGTATGTTTGAGTGATGCTCATTTTCTTTTGTTGGCGCCTCCGCACAATAGAGGTGAAGTAGGAGCTAGGGGTAATGTTGGAAGAGGAAGTCGAAAGGGGGGAAGGAGAGGGAGAAGAAGTAGTAGAAGTAGAAGTAGAAGAGTGAGAGGCCATGGTGCCAAAAAAGTCCGGGAGGACCGTGTTGATGTGCTTATGAGCTCAATGCCAAAAGGTGACTCGTCGCTCTGCGCGGTGACTCAGGCAGCCTTCCCTTTTCCGGCGGCCGCTCAGCCTGGGGGACCAATCAGCGGGCAGAGAGATCGCGGGGCGGTGAGTCAAGGTTGACTGCAGGCGGATCAATAAATCACGACGCCTTATCTTGGGGCGCGACTACGCTTTGATCCGCTTTTTTTCGTTTCCGGCGTCAAAAATGGGAAATGGGAAAATGGATAGTTTATCTGCACTATGTCGGCGCAAAAAATGGATGGGCGCGACCAGACCCGCGATGCGTCGTCCGTTCCTGGCTCCTTCAGGCGTCTCCACTGGTTGTCTGTTCAACAACAGGCAGGGTGAGGCAGCAGTAGTGGCGGGGAAAGCGGATGTGTTGGAAGTATGTGGTTTGAGAAATGCCCTGTGTGCGTATGTAGGATGGTGCACAGCAGTATTATAGTCGGTCTGAGGTGGTCACCCTAAAGCGATGGGTGTGGATGTAGTATGTATGTGGAGGAAGGAAATAGGTACTGGGTACTTGAGAACCTGTGTAGAGAAAGAAAAAAAAATGATCAACCGGGAGACAGGGACCAATTTAATATGATATATCCACTTTCTAGGCTGATAATTTTTTCTTGCTGATTTCTTTTTTCGTTACTCAGTGTTTTCTCCGTTTTTCTAATGCTATCTCCATTATTAACCTTACTATATTTTTACCTTTTTTTTTTCGCACCGGGGTTTAGAAGGGATATGGAATCGGACCTTCGGAGGCAGAAACCATCGATGCCCATCCGTGGATCGGAAGGAGGGTGCCGGATCCACCAGGGCCGATTTCTCTCGCTCAAAAAGGCAACTGTTAGTTCACCGCCCCTCGCTCGACCCAATCATCATTCCTAAAAATGAGTCACGGCCAGGCTCCGCCCGCTAACTCCGTATGGACGATCACCGCTCAGCCCAGCCCAGCAAAGAAAATAAAATATTTTGGGTGAAAAACCCTGGACGGGGCGTCGGATGACCAATCTTTCCGCGCCGTTATTTCCGGCTGACGGGAGCTTCCAAGCCTAGAAAATTCCAGCAGATGCCCAGTCATCGCTCGTCTTATGCCAGAATCCCCGATTACTAACTGTACTTCCCATCTTCCATCATCCGTGAAGGTTGCTATTTCCACGGGACCAAAGGGGCCAGCTGGTTCTGAATGAGCCGCCTAAGGTCAATGCGCCAGCTCGTCATGCCTACTGTGTGGTCCGTAGTAATGACACTTTTGTCCGCTTTGAAATCAGCATCCCCGATTCATAAGCTCATGGTGCAGAACCAGAGTCCCCTAACTTGGCCAGCCTCACTACTGCAATGGGTCTAGTCGGCGACACCAGTCACATCCCCACCCGGGGATAGCGACGTTCCTGAGCGCGATGTATACCAACCGTGGAAGTAGACGCGTATTCCGGTCGCGCAGAATAGTAATCAGCAATCATGCACTCATCGTAACCCGAGGGATAACATGAGAGTTTACGGAGTAGAGCGTATTCATTTGGCAGCCAAGTGCATTGACCCAAGTGCGTGCACTAGACTAGCTAATGCGAATACCTTGGGGAAAGGGATTGATTGACCTGTGCACGGAAGCAGTAATCCCGGGCGGTGGTCAATAATTCGCGAGGCCGAGGCGCGTGTACCTTGGGAGGTTAACTAGCCAAGCGAATACGACGACGGGCGCGGAGTTATGCCTAGTACTCTCCTATCTTACCTACTTACTGCGCTTGCTTGCTCGCTCCCTGGATACCTCCGAATGCGCTGAATGGATAAGAGATACTTCCTGCCTGGATTGGATGTCGCGTACTGTATGGAGTATGGGTGCATAATCTCGCTTCCTTTCTGTCTGGCAACCTTTGCAAAGCCCACGTAAGCCAGAGCTCGGCGATGAAGTATCCACAGGCTGCCACATTTCATGCCTCTAATTGATCAGTGCCTACAAGTCACCATTTTGTATCTGCCTGCTAAGCCAACTAGTAGAATCCGGGGGAGTCTGACTGCCCATCACAACTATGATAGGCGTGTGCTTTGTCTGCCTGTGCGGAGAGCCGCACGTCCAAGCCAGGCTTGGCAGCATCCCTGGTCGCGTAGGGGGATCAAGGCACCACCGCAAAAATTGGGTAGCTACCGAGTTGGGCTATTTGTGTTGATTCAATCTGTGAGGGTTGACCGCTAGCGACAAACGTGTCCTGCTCTTGGCGACGCCCTGCTTGCCTGCTTGCCTGCCTCCGCCTCCGCAGTACTGGATGATCACCCCCTGGCTGGCTGAGTACGTATTGGAGATGGCTGTGTTTCGCGAGGTCGTCTAGCTAGCTGGGAAAGTATGGGGGCGGAAATCGTACGTAAGCGTGTTGAGGAGGGGGCTGGATTATCATGATGATAATCAACGTGCCGCTCTTGGTTTGCTATCAGTTAATCTGTCGTCTATCTGAAACCTTACAGCTTACATGGAGATTTGTCTATCTACACAGCCTCGATGGGGATCCTTGTGGGGAGCAGCAGACTAGTCAGCAACTATCGTGGCTAGTGTGTCATGTGACTCCATCGGTTCACTACTACTTAGTTACTAACTATCTGCTGTTGTCTATTTCCTAGAGAGAACAGAGCTGATAGCAATCACTCTCACCCTCAATAGGCAACTAATAGAAATGACATATTGGGGAGCAGGCCAAACAACTATCTACAATAGACGATCGCAATCCCCTCGTACGAAGTGAATGTCTGGATCCAGCCAGTTTCAGCAACAGCTCCACGATGAAAACGCCCAGTGTGTCAAGGAATGTCGCTGTGTTCCCTCAAACCACGTCTGGATCCAGCCAGTGGGGCAAAAAGGGAGGGGAGAGGGAGAATCTGACATGGCATCCAGCTTTCCCCCAAAACAGAAATACGAGGAATGGGACCTGACGGAGATCTCCTACCAAGTGCCTGATTCAGTCTGCAGTTAAGTTAATTGCTCGAGGCATGCTCGTGAAGGTTAATCAGCAAAGCTACTCAACCCAGGGAAGACAATGAATGCTAACCACATCAACAACCTCTCTGGACTCGTTTTCTTCATCCCGCGACCGCTGCCTCGGGGCGACCGGGAGGGCGCCCCCCGCGAATGTCTTCAGGCTGCCAGCGCCCATGCTTGATCCCTACCTGTATAGCAACACCAGAACCTTGTTTACTTCCACACCCTCGCTCCAAGAAGGACTGTGCAGACGTGAGCCCAATGACAGGAGTCCACATCATGCTTGACTCGCTCGTATCAACCTGTCCTTGCAAACACTGATCTCTTACAACTCATATTGGCCACACTTGACATTCTCATCATTATCATCATCATCATCATGATATTACAGACGGCCTGACCCGCCACGACTGTTCGATTCTAGATCATACACATATTCATTACCCTTTTCAAGTTCAGATACTGTCGCTCGATGATTATAAACACACAATAGAAAAGAGAGCCAGGTCTGGATTGATCTTGATTGACGTCACGACATCAGATCCCTGCAAATCCAGCAAACATTACGAAGTAGAAGTGTTGACCTCATATCCCGACCACCAAACATTGACTTCATCTAATCCCCCAGATTTATCATCCATCACCTAACCATCACCCAGAATAACAACAGCAACCGATCCTCGTATCCCTAATCATCATCTTCCAAACATTATCTTGTTTCAAAACTACTATCTTAACAACAACCTTAACTTCTGACACAAAACTGACAGAACATTAATAATCCCATCACTCCCCTGCTACCATGGTAATACACACCACCACAAACCTACTCGTCTGCGTTACACCATCAACTCTACGCATAAACATAGTGAGGATAAAGTAAACTTATTAGTATGTCGGACATAACCCAACCCCATCGCGTAACTCCTAATCCCTATCTCCCCTACCCAGCGCCAAACCCACCCAGAGAAATACATTCCGTGTGAGAAGGTAAAATCGGCGTTTCGCACTCCCAACCTCCGACCGACCGCGCGAGGATACGCCGGAACCGGCAACCGAATGTACCCAGCCCCGTGATCTGACCCATGGTTCACTCATGCCCACTAATCAATCAGAAATCTCCCTCCCATGTGAAGCGAATGAGTGAATCACTCGGATGCACGGCATTGATCAAATTAATCTTCAGCCTTGTGTGATTTTTTACCTAATTTTTTTCTGCCGGTTTTATTTTTCTTTGGGTCCCGGGATCTAGTTACCTTTTGGTTTTGATGATTAGTAGAGATGACTTTTACTTGATCTCGGGCCGAGGGTGGGCTTTGGCTTTCACTTGCTGATTGATTGACAGCTATCTCGTGATGATTGATGATTGAGGCTTGATGATGGATGAGTCATTGCCATTGTCTGAGTTTCCGATTTTCGCGTGGTGGTTTAGGTACGGACCCCGTAGACAGGGGTGATAGGAGCGATGTCGTCGAAATGCTCCTATTTAGTATTTCATATGATGTTGTTGGTGGTGTTGAGGGGAACTGCGTTCGACAATCTGAACGGAGCGGGTGGGTGGCGATACTATGTGAAAAGGGTCCTAGTTACATACATACAAAGTATTAGAATGAATGGATGTATGCATAATTAATTGTGAATAGCTTATTCTAGTAATACACAGCACCTTTAATGCCTCGCAGGTATGGTTAATTAATGCCTCCGACATTGCTCTTAGTTGCCACCCTGCGGAGTCGGGGTATGGATCCCCGGTGCCGAGGCAGCAAGCCAGTATGACTAGTAGTTAGTTCTTTTTCCAGAGCCATATTGATTGCTGGTGGTCGGTTAGTATCTCATTGAGGGAAATAATTTCAATGCGATTAATAGCAGTTATGCAGAAACGGGCTTGTTTTATGACATGCAGTGCATTTCCTGCAGTTCATTCATACTTGAACTAGGATGGATACTCCGTATATGTTGAGGAAATAGGAACCTCTTCCCCCACCATCAGAACCAGAAGCTGATCATCGCAACCAGCACTAGTAATAGCTACCTCCTGTAAGTAGATATGAATATTGGTACAAATAACAATACTTTTTTATATTATATATCCTTATCTATATCCATTTTATTCTCTTTCTTGATCTTATATATCTCAGAAACCGAGGGAGTCTGCTTACACTAAGTAGTAGTATCCTTCAGCACAGGGTCTTGATTAGTATCTCACTATATCAGCTGTTAAATTGATCTTTTCATCCACTCCTGCTGGCATAACTATATTCACATTGGGATTGTAGACGCGGGTGATAAGCTTCTTACACCCCGATTTGAAGTATAGTGAAGTAGATAGAACATTATCATAACCGAGGAAAATTGGAAAGAGTAAAGTAGCACCTTTAATTCGTTATATACATAAGGTCCTGGGACTTGAGGTACTTGCAGGACTGACTTACTACTAGATACACGGTTATTTATACTTAATCCTACTTTATTTATTCGAGTTAATGTGGAAGTGACGAGATGACCCCCTGCGTTGTAGATTGACCTATGGCTGTTAGCGATATCAAACATTATAATTGTCTCACTTATCCAACAGTCTATTCATACCATCATCCTCATCAATACTATTTTACGTTTATCGATACCACCAAGAAAGTCATCACATTTTGTTTCTACCATCACGAGGAGTTCAATCGCGATTGTAGCCACGACTTTAGCGATCCTGGTACAGATCAGCCTCGTCCCCCTGCCGAGGCTGATCTGGATGACCGCGACCACCATGAACAACCACCTTTCTCTCACTGGCAGTGAAGATGCATTTCACGCCTCCCTAAATGAACAAAACGACTACCTCCAAAGCAAATCTGCAGATGACATAGCAGCCTTCTCTCACCAGTTGGACGCATATCTTCTGAGTCCCAACAAACCTAGACCTTTCGATCACATCATCGACCGCCCAAGATCCTACGATCGCATCAACGATCACTTCAACAACCACATCGTGCACCAACCTGAGCAACAGATCGTTGAACTAGGGCAGGTCATCGACCACCCAGTCCAACACCGTCGAGCATGTCGTTGACCGAAGCAATTGGACAATCAGCCCAACGAGTGATCGAGCAAATCATCGAACAGATCGTTCTCGAGCCCACAGGTCCAGCAACACAATCAAAACAAGACAGTTGAACAACGGCCCGATATCGTGCAACCTGGCGAGTAACAATCCATCAACGAATCTGCACAGCACATCGCAGTTAACAAGCGACCCGACCAGCATGTCGAACCAGAACAGCCTGTCGGAAACAGCCCTACGACGCCAAAACCGCTCAAGCTACAGGACCTGATGAACAATTATATGAGCTCGACGTCGTCAGATGCCTACACACCACCCGACATCATGCAAGCTTCAACTACACCACCGATCGCCGGCCCCTTACTTGACCGTCCACGCAACGGATAGCCGCTGAAGAACATAGTCAACTCAGAGACGCTCGACAAAGATGCTACCGAGGCCGCTTGGAACCAGCTCGTCAACTACGGTCCCGACGATAAGGACACAAATGACGACCACGTCACCAACCGGGGCCCTCCTGGCGATGGCGACCATGTTGCCTGTGCATGAACGGCAGGGAAGTCACCGCTGCACTGGCAATTGTCTGCTCAACAACAAACTCGAGTTTCTGCGCCCTGCTGGCGATGACTGCCAAGGTCAGGAGTAACTCAGCTTTTATCCTCACTCACTAATGTATGTTGAGTGTCGTTAAATACTGGGGCTGTATAGAAATGTCAATGCTGCAGATAACTGGATTATGTAGAGTTTTGAGCCCGGAACTCACGGTCGGAGAACTTCTCTTGACATTTGAAAGTCAATTTGATGAATTTCCCAGGTACGGTGTAAGACATTTATAAGTCACATATGATGAAGCCGACTATTTGTCAAGCTGGTTGATGCCATCCGAACACCCAGGATCCTGTTCCTGAGTCCTGCAAGGGTTGAAAGAAGCCCTAGTATTATGTTATAAGGGGAAGCAACGCGTTAGAGTTGATCAAACTATGGACCGTGCGTCAGTGGCTGGATGGGAGGTGAGTGTCAAGTTGAGCAAATCAAGGAGGTCAGTATGAGCGATTATTGTCGTCCACTTCTTGGGTCTTTGCCATCTGCAGTGCAACTCCTCTTGCTCTCGGTAAATGGACACTGCCCCAACCAAACATGTTTCTTCCCGATTAATTGGCAATAAATGGTGGGTCATCATCCCATATATTTCTCTTTCGTGTTCCCAGTGACGATACTGACATATTCAGATCGATCAGTCAAGCGAGTCGACTAAACTCCTGTGATGCAGCTCAATGAGGCATTTGTCGGCTTCCAATAGCCATTCTCCTTTTACCACGCAAGGAGCCGATCTCGGACTATTTATTTCAATCAACAATCGAGACTCATCCCGAAGACTACTTTTGCCTTTTCCTCAGCCGTCTTACCTCCAGAGCTTCTCCGACCGGGTGTCTCACGTATGCCCCCACGCGAGTCCGTGGTTGACAATCCCAAGTCACCCCTACGCCGTTGTCACCACTACATCTACATCATCTCCTGGGCCCTAGTATCGTCACTTATTCTTTACTGCGCCGGAGGACTATCTTACGTCGATGCCTTGCTTCTCGCCTCCGGCGCAGCCACACAAACCGGCCTCAACACGGTAGATCTCAATCGCCTCCATGTGGTTCAACAGGTCACCCTGTTGGTGGTGTCGATGGTCACCAATGTCATCTTTGTACACTCGCTACTTGTGGTGATTCGGCTGTATTGGTTCCGGAAACGATTCAAGAGAGCCATTCATGAGGCAAAAATGATGTGCCGCGCACAGCGGAACACCCTGAATCAAAGACTTGCAGATGTGGAGAATGGACATTATCGAACATTCTCGCGCGAAAGACCATCGGAGGAGGAGCCTCTACTTTCAACCGTCACCGAGGAGAGCACAACTGCCTCTCCCAGCGAGTCTCCTGGCGGCAGGAGGTATGGCCCAACCGGCTCCATGAGCCCGCACATCACCTTCTGTGAGACGGAGGCTGAGCACGAGGTAAAACAACGTCGACGGTCATACTCCGGTACCTGGTCGCGTCGTTCCCTGCCTGAGATCGATAGTCCACAGCGGCGGCGATCATTTTCCGAGACGCAGAATGATATGCCGCCGCTGCCATCATTGATGTGGCAGTCGTCGATTGCCAGTTACTCCGACTGGAATGAAGCGCAAAAGGAGGAACTTGGGGGTATTGAGTACCGAGCATTAAAGACATTGTTTGTCATCCTTGTTTGCTATTATGTGATCATTCACCTGCTAGGAGCATTGCTCTTCCTGGTATGGATTCTGCCAAATAGACACTACGGTCAGATCCTCGCAGAGAATGGCATCAGTCGGCCTTGGTGGGCTATTTTCACTGCGGCTCAGCCTTCAATGACCTGGGATTCACATTGACTCCAAACTCGATGGGGTCGTTCAACACAGCGGTATTCCCCCTACTTGTGATGACCTTTCTCATTGTGCTCGGGAATACCGGGTTCCCATGCATGCTCCGCTTCATCATATGGACACTATCGCAGTTCACTACATACGGCAGTCCCCTCGACGACGAGCTCCAATTTCTCCTAGATCATCCCCGACGCTGCTTCACGCTGCTTTTCCCCAGCACAGAGACCTGGCGACTCGCCGCAGTCCTCCTGCTCATCAATGCTATAGACTTGATCATCTTCTACACTCTCCAAGAAGTAAGTTGGCCCAGAACAAAACCGACCTGAACCATTTTACTCACCAACTCATCAGTTCCCCCACCCTAGCCCCATATCAGCCGGTCTCCGTCTCGTCAACGGGCTATTCCAAATCGCCTCCACCCGTACCGCCGGCTTCACCATCGCCTCACTAGGCACCCTCCACCCAGCCGTACAAGTCTCGTTCGTGGGGATGATGTACATCTCCGCATTTCCCATCGCGATCGCCATGCGCAAAACCAACGTCTATGAAGAACGCAGCCTCGGCATCTACAACGAAGAGTACGACGAGCATGACAAGCCGCACCAATCTGACTCCCTAGGCGCTCATATCCAACGTCAGCTGGGATTCGATCTGTGGTTTGTCATGCTAGGCTTTTTCTTCGTTGCAGTCGCCGAGGGGAAACGTCTCCAGGAGAACCGCACTGATATTGCGTTCTCGCTCTTCCCTATCCTGTTTGAAATTGTGTCTGCATACGGCACTGTGGGCTTATCAATGGGTTACCCTGGTACCGAGACGAGTCTGTGTCGGGAGTTCAATGGCTTGTCCAAGGTAATTGTCATTGCGATGCAGGTGCGTGGGCGCCATCGTGGTCTACCACATGCGCTGGATCATGCGATCCTGTTGCCGTGTGATTTGGTGGAGCCGGACGAGCAGGGCCGGAGGCCAGAGTGGTGGTGGAAACGGTGGCTCAGGAAGAAGAGCTCTGATCTGGGGAACTTGTTTACGCATGACTGACAATTTACTCAGAACGTATGTTCGGTCATGACTGCGCCTCCTGGTGCAGGGTTGCTCCTTTATGAACATTGACTGAATTGACAAAAAGTTCCACTATGAATACTAGCCCCACCACCAGGCAATCAATATGGCTTTGCGTAACAACTAGTAGTCCCTTACGTCTCAAGAAGTTAACTACAAGCAACTACCCTAGCCCATTATAAACATAGAAGAGCCAACCACCACCGCCACAACATCCACCCTCCCGAACAAGACATGACCCTAGCAACCTAAACCTTCTCAACATCCTCAATAACCGTCTTATTATCCCCTTTCACCCCCTCCTCGAGCTTTATCTCCTTCTGCAACGCGATCGCATCCGCATCCTGCGCCCCCGCAACAGCCGTCTCAAAGTGTCGGCCGCGCTTCTCAGGCCCAAAAGCAGTGGTGACGGCAATGCCCGTCGCAATGATAGCCGTAGCGACGCCCATAACGGGCCCGTACGCGGGAGCTGGGTTCCCCGATGAAGAAGTCACGAAGGTCTTTTCGGCAATTGCGTTGACGATTTGAGCGGAGGGAGAGGAAATCATGTTTCCGACTTGGTAGGTTATTCCTTAACCAAATCATAATGTGTTAGCATCTCCAATTCAAATAGTGGAACGGAGTGAACCAAACCAGGAAATGAAGATCTGAAAGCAGGAGGTGAGAGCTCATTGAGATGGATCGGAATCACGCCCCATGCACCCTGAATGAAGAATTGGATGAAGAAGCCCGTTACGCTGAGGGCACGCTCGCCTTCAGGCAGAATCCAGGCGGGGATCAGAATGCCGGATATGAGGGCGGAGATGATGATGGCGCGGCGGCGGCCGAAGAACTGTGAGAGATAGCCGATGATGGTGCCACCGACGCAGGCGCCGGTTTTCATGAGGATGGAGGCGCGGGAGGCGGCGGCGTTGTTGAGGTCTTTTTGCGTGAGCATGAAGGTTGTGTACGAGTCTTGGGATGTGTGTGAGTAGTAATTGAACTAGGGATGATGTTAGCTGTGTTTGATTTTGGGGTTGGAGGGCATACCCAGGTCATGAGGATCACGCAGTAAATGCACATCTTCCACTCTTGGGCAAGCATTTGTTTTGTTTCGCGCCAGAAGGCTCCGGGGTCGGAGGAGACTCTGCCTGCTTTTTTGGCTTCGATGAATTGCTTCGATTCGGGGAAGAATATGCGGATGACGCCGACGCCAAGGGAGATGCCAGCTGGGGGTGGTGGTTAGGGATGTTCATGAAGAAGTTACTAGGTGGCAAGTAGTCAACTCACCTGCAATCCAGAAGACAGTCTTCCAGCTATCTGTTGCGCCGCCCACACCGAGATTGGCACATGCTGCTAGGACGTATCCGAGGGAGTATCCCTGCTGTAGAATGCCGGACATGAGGCCGCGAGCGCTCACACTGATTTGTTAGTGAATTGAGTGAAATGTGAGTAAAATATGAAAGAAATGTGAGGGGAAGGGGGGCGCGTGTGAGAGGCGAATGCAACTGCAAGAAGCCCAAGGCATCACACAGAAAGGTTGAAAGATTGGAAGATTGGAAGATTGGAAGATTGGAAGATTGGAAGATTGGAAGATTGGAAGATTTTCATTGCACTTACGGGCAGTGTTCCAAAGCCATGGCGATCGCATTACCATACACGCCACCCATGAACAACCCGAAGAGGCTGCGAACTGCCAGGAATTGCTGGAAAGTGTGGCTATAAATAGTAGCGATTTGAAGCACGCCGAGCACAGTCATATTGAGGACCATTGGCCACTTGCGTCCAAATTTGTCACCGGCAAGACCAAACAAGGCAGCTCCCACGCTTCGCAAGAGCAGAGTGAGAGTAATGGCGGTAGAGACATCTGTTTTTGAACGGCCGTAGTACTTGGAGAGCTTCACGGTCTGGATGGACAAAGCATGAAAGTCAAAGGCATCCGCAGTCCATGCAACCAAGCCCACTAGGAAAAACAGCCAGTCCCGAGCGCTCAGCTGAGAGAATAAACTGATAGGATTCTGAAGACGGTCTGGGGCTTGCCATTCTGTGCGAGTTTCTCCATCCTCGTTGGTCACCACAACTCGCTGCTTCCATCGGAACAGGTCCCCCCATGCCTGTTTGGCAGTGGCCAGGATACCGTCCGCAAGGGGTTCCACTGGTTCGTTTGCAGTGTTCATTGTTGCTCGCTTGAAGCTTTATTCTGCTCTGGATACTTGCAAGGAAGTGAGGAGATGCGAGCTCTCTTTATATCCCTGCTGCATTCACTGTCATTGTGCCCAGTGAATTCCCACCGAGCACCCCCACATCATGCGATGGGATCAATCTCCGCATATTCCCCAGATTTTCGTCCGTTCTTCCCCGCGAGCAATTTTGGGATTGGGCGGGCCAAGGTTGCGCCAAGCAGTTGGGCGGCATGCTCTTGTCCATGCGCCAGCAAATGTGCCAGCCACGCGACATGGGGTCCGCTCAACATTACTAGCAGTTCCGACCCTATCGTGAGACGTTGGGAGTGAAGGAAAAGGTTTATGCCAAGGCCAGGAGAGAGGGGTTTGTCTTGCTGCTATCTGAAGTGACGGTGATGGTGGTCCTGCGGCACGAGGGCAAGCAAGGTCTGGCGCCATCGATGATTTGCCAAACCGGAGAATATTGGGTTGTACAAACCCCGCGGAGAATGACTCGTGCCTCTCTGCTCGTGCGCTGAAAACTTTACCATGGATATATCTGTTGTCGATGGGTTAGATTCTCCGAGATCGGTGCTGTAGTTTCCTGGCCTGAGACTGAAATTGACTCACGGTGACACAGGTCCGCACTAAATATCCGATCAACAAAGCAACCGCTCTAGCCATTTATATACCCACAAAAGGCGGCAATATGCCATTACCTCCTAGACATCTCTGGTTCAGATGAAGGAAAAGCAGAAGCTTGCCCAATTCGCGTCGCATCGCCAATTCCACCGAAGAAAGAGAAGCAAGGAGTCCGGGGCAGATCGGAAAGGCAGAACAAAGAAACAGGGCAGATCACTAGTAGAACAGGTGACGTTTACCTTTCCAGGTATTACTGGATTGATACCATCACCCCTGCTCTTGATTCAATGCTCTCTCTCTTTCCATGCAGGTCAACGAACTCCCAACATTAATATAATTTCTTCATTTCAATAATTTGGCATCTTCAGGTAAAAAGAGGCAAAAATTCAATTGCAAAAACATACAACAGAAGGGATTCGCTGGTGGTCACCCACCCAACTACTAACCTCCCGGCGTGTGGCTTGAGTACGGCTGAGCGGACGGGAAGCCCTATTTTCCACACCCTGTGGTCGTATGTACTTATTTCTTTCTTGGATAAGGTTATATCCTTACTAGTGTTATGATCCTTATGGAATCTTTCGGCGCTGCTTGATATCTAAGGTTGGAGTGGAGTCTCCTAAGATAGTGATGCCTTTTTTTACTAATTCGCCGAGTAATGGTTTAGTATTGCTTGGTGTGATGTACTTTTTCGTAAGCTTTCATGGGCTCATGTCTTGAGAGGAATTGTCTTTCGATGGCTTCCAATTTTCGTCGCTTGGTTACTTGCTTGTTTGAGGAGGAGGGCGGGGGAAATGAATGTATGTGTGTAATGTGTGTGCTTGTGCGACAGCTGAATTTGGCATTGAAAGCTGGGTAAAGACCTCTAGGACCTGTTGCGTTAAGACAGTAGGGAGATCGGAGTTGGTATTATTAAGGCAGGAAAATATAAAGGTGTCCATTGATTTTAATATTCAGTCAGGCTTACGCGACTGTATTTGTCCTTGATTGTTCGTCATATTGGGTATGTGGCTAGGGATGATGTTTTCGGCGTGCACTTCGCTTCACAATTGTTCAATTTTTGTTGGTCCACTTGCTTTGTGAGACATATCCTATGGCAGTTCATGGTGTTTCAGTGATGCCAAGAGACATGTGCAGAAGCCACAGGCACAGGGATACACTAAGCTGGAGCATTTACTCATAAAAGCTCTGATAGCGGCAGGTTTATGCGATTTAGTGGAGCACTGGATAGAAATTGCATGCCAGTTTGTGTAATCATCAAGGTGTTAGAGACATTCTGCTCACATTGATAATGCTTAGTATTGATCTTCACCTGTCTAGGTGGAGGAAGGAAACAGAGAACAGAGGAAGAGATAGAATTAAGAAGGATGTATGCAAAAGAGACAAAGAGCATGATGACCCCTGTGCGTCACATGATCACTGCTGCTGTAGATGAACTACGGCTATTCCTTCTTTTGGCATCACAGATCCTTCGACAATAAGACGACCAATAAACACCATACGCTGAGATTTCCAGGATTCCAAATCATGAAAGCCATCTGCATTTCAACTAAGTCAGAAAGAAGGCAACATTACGATGTCCAAAAAATGCCTCTTTTAAAACCCACTGAACACTAAAGGCAGCTCCTATGCCCCTCATATTTGCGAATCAAGCCTTGTCACATAAACAAGCGTGGATATAAGCACTATATAGCTCATACAAAAGCCTATAGGAACCTTCGGATCTCATCAGGGGCTGTCCCACAACAGTTGGGCTCCGCTATTGCACTTCGACTTCTCTCTAGTCCACTTCCCACTGGGACTGGCTATTATCCCGAGCCCACCAGGCAACTACAATACCTCCTTCTACTGATGTTGCCTTTATGCTGATACGGTGGAGCTTAAGTGACAGGACCAATATTGATTTGTCGGACATACTCCGGTCAGGGTCGGTCAGGGTAATTGCATACCGATGGATACGTTGTGTCTGCCTGCGCCATTTCAATCACCCTACGGAGCAGAAAGGCCCCGTTTTTTGTCGAAGGGTTCCGAATATCTTGCGAATGCCGAAAACCCCTACGGCGCTGGGACGGCCGGACGATAGCCATATACCAATCATTCGGGAAGCCGTCTGAGCAATTACTGCAAGTTGCTGTTTTGATTGGAGGCTGCCATTTCCGACCAACATGGAATACTTGCGGTCTGTCAAATGGATTCATTATCTGGCGTAGATTAAGAGTGGTACCTGTCAACATCCTGAAGCAAAATAATCATGCATGCCTTGCTTGGAGACAGTGCTCGTTACGAGGCCGTACATACGAATTGCATCGTGAGCCAATATTACTTCAGCCAAGGCCTAGGCCTTAGTCCAAGGCGAAAGGGGCCTATGGAGCAGACTTCCTTCTCTGATGCGGAGTTGACTGAGACTACTAACTCGAATAGAACCAAGCTTCGAGGCACCTCTCGGAAGGAAAGAAAAAGCTGCATTCCGTTTCTCCGTTCCTCATTTCTATGGCCATAGAACTCGTCACGCCGTTCCTTAAGGGTGACCGCTAATGCAATCCCTGGTACGCTCTGTAACGCCGGACCCTGCAACCTGGAGAAATGCGTTCCCCCTGCCATTGGATTTGCCGAGATGAGCTTGACCTGATTATCTAAAACCCCCTGATGATGCCGACTGGCGACGCCGGGTGGGGAATGGCATGCCCCGTACCAACGTAACGGGAATTGATCGGCATCTTGGAATCGCTATGCACTCTGCTGATATCAACTTCATTACTGGATATTGAGGTGTCTACTGCGGGATTCTGGGACTAGTCTCCGCCGTTCTCCCATATTCTTGACGCCAGAAAGGGGCACTGAGATTGGTGGTGTTTCAATCCTCCGTGGGCGCTCGCTCCTTATGGCGCGAAGATCCCGAACGGGCTGACTCGGCCTTGTTGACTCCTTTGGGTGACGAGTGGACCTCATCTCATCGGCACAAACGGATCGCGGCCCATGGGCCCCTGGTTTGTGCCTGCAGCGAATTGGCCCAACCTAATCCATATGCTTCCGTCATACAAGGGACGGGGATGGAAATCTCCCGTGAAGAAGCTTGAAGATCAACGACTGTAAGAATATCAGTTGCCAAAATGGGGCCTGATGTCTTCTGAGACGGGTGGCTGATGCGCAATCAGATTTGTTGTGTGGGAATGTTATCGGTACGCTCCGCGATAGGCTCGGGCCCAAGTTCAAAGCCAAGTTCGATTAAGAAATGCCGCGTCAACCCATCTATTTTAGTGCCTCCTAGCCTTGATGGGCCGTTAGAGATTGATGACTCCAGGTGCCACCCATTGTCGACCCATGCAGGCTGCATTAGACCAATCCTTCGCGTCATCAGAGCTTCTATCCTGCTGTTTCCGAAGTTTTGCCTTACCCAGCTAGGTCTAATGCGTTCGTTGACAAGAATGACTTGCGCAATGAAGGAGGCATGCTTCCAGGGTATATAAGACCCAGCTCGTCGCCGGGTTTGCAGCTTCTTTTGTTCTTCAGCGAAAGCCAATCATTCATTCCTTCTCTCATTTCTCACTCATCTCTGTTCTGTAGATCAGAACTGGCCCAGTCTTTCATTTACTCTGTTGATCAGATAACCATCCAACTCGCAACTATGCCTTCTGCCAAGCCTTTGTTCTGCCTTGCGACCCTGGCCGGTGCCGCTCTGGCTGCTCCTGCGCCTTCCCGCGTCTCCGACTTCACCAAGTCGGTCCACCTGCACCTTCACTGATGCGGCCACCGCCTCCGAGAGCAAGACCTCTTGCTCCGACATCGTCCTCAAGGACATCACCGTCCCTGCTGGTGAGACCCTTAACCTGAAGGACCTCAACGACGGCACCACCGTAAGCGTCCCCTCCCAGCCCTAGCAGCAGCCCCAATCCTAACAAGCATTCCAGGTCACCTTCGAGGGAACCACCACCTGGGAGTACGAGGAGTGGGATGGACCCCTTCTCCGTATCTCCGGTAAGGACATCACCGTGACCCAGTCCTCCGACGCCGTCCTCGACGGCAACGGCGCCAAGTGGTGGGACGGTGAGGGAACCAACGGCGGCAAGACCAAGCCCAAGTTCTTCTACGCCCACGACCTCGACGACTCCAAGATCTCCGGTCTTTACATCAAGAACACCCCCGTCCAGGCCATCTCCGTCGAGTCGGACAACCTCGTGATCGAGGACGTCACCATCGACAACAGCGACGGTGACTCCGAGGGCGGTCACAACACCGACGGTTTCGACATCAGCGAGAGTACCTACATCACCATCACCGGCGCCACCGTCAAGAACCAGGACGACTGCGTCGCCATCAACTCTGGTGAGAACATCTACTTCTCCGGCGGTACCTGCTCCGGCGGTCACGGTCTCTCCATCGGCTCCGTCGGTGGCCGCGACGACAACACCGTCAAGAACGTCACTTTCATCGACTCGACTGTCTCCGACTCTGAGAACGGTGTTCGCATCAAGACCGTCTACGACGCTACTGGTACTGTCGAGGACATCACCTACTCCAACATCCAGCTCTCCGGTATTTCCGACTACGGTATCGTCATCGAGCAGGACTACGAGAATGGTGACCCCACTGGTACTCCCTCCAACGGTGTTACCATCTCCGACGTCACCCTCGAGGACATCACTGGCTCGGTTGACTCCGACGCTGTCGAGATCTACATCCTTTGCGGTGATGGCAGCTGCTCTGACTGGACCATGTCTGGCATTGACATCACCGGCGGTGAGACCAGCAGCGATTGCGAGAACGTTCCTTCTGGTGCTTCTTGCGATCAGTAAGGGGCTTGCGTGCCTTTCCCTTCTCTTGACCGAAAGAAAGACTGAAGAGCTGTGGTGCGCTCTGTACATTTCAGATAATTGCTAATCTTCTTTCTCTTCTTTGCCGCCTGTCTTACACAGTCGTGTATATTAATCAAAAACCATTGACTGTACAGTCCTGGAACAAAATCTAGAACACGATGTCCGTAGTAGTTGTAGTCGATGCTTACTTCCCTCGAAGCATTTCTAACCAAGCAGACTGAGTCCAACCCTACATAAAGCAGCGTCAAAGGAAGACCATTTGTAGATAATATAGTATTTACATTGATCAGTATTACACCTTTCCATGCCATAGCTTCAATACCGTATTCTGATACAAACCTACTTCAATTACGACGTAAAATTCCATTCCCATACTACGGTGAAGCTCCCATATTATAGAGTCGTTGCTATGCAACTTTTTTTTTTTCTTTTTGTTTTCAAATAATTACTATTGATATAAAGCTGATCAGAGAAGAAATAAGTACATACGACCACAGGGTGTGGAAAATAGGGCTTCCCGTCCGCTCAGCCGTACTCAAGCCACACGCCGGGAGGTTAGTAGTTGGGTGGGTGACCACCAGCGAATCCCTTCTGTTGTATGTTTTTGCAATTGATTTTTTTTGGTGATTTGTTGGGTTTATTTAGCAGCCCTTGCTGCTTCTACATTTTGCCTCTGGAGGCCTGAAGCTCGTCTAAAACTCACCTACTGCCCCGCCCGCTGACTTGTCCTTTGTCGGATTAGCTAGCCTTCTAGGAATCCGATTTTAGAACGACTTTAAATCGCCCATTAATATATTGTACATGATGATGCTTCTAGATCTTCCCCTAATTGCGCAAAGTTGGTGAGCCCGCTCGAGGGGAGAGCGTGCCCCGAGCAGAATAGGGAGTATAAGACAGCCAATTGGGGAGAATATGGTTTTGCTGTGCTAGTCTCACTCCGGTGGTATTGGAGGCGTAGGTGGTGCGCTACATCGAGGTAGACTGGTGTAGGCTGGCTTCCACCGTATCGTTTCGATGCAAACAATGACACGAGTCTGGCGCTCTTGTATAGCAAGAAAAGGAAAGAGGCACTGGCGCTTGGAGTTGCTTTCAAGCAGACGGCAATTGTAAGCGCCTTAGGTTGACCCCACCATGCACGCTAATCCAGATTGGGCCAGAGATAGAGTTAGTTTCCGCCACGCTAGTCTACCCTACGACACAGCCCTGACGACACCGAGAGCCGGTTGCTGTCTGCAGACTCTCGGTAACGAATCGACCAAATAGTGTGCATACAGAATGGGCATGCTGGGAAGGAGCTTTGTCGCACTTTATTCTTGCTCAGTTTACATTGTGCGCAGACACGCACACCCGTGTCTTGGACATCATGTGAAAGAAGGGCGATTCATGGCGATCGCAAATGCAATGTTATACCTGTGTCGAATCCCATGCTCTAATACTAAGCCGCGGGGATAACCGGCAGTGAATTCACAAGTTGGGCGGGGACCTGAGTATATGTCTAGGTCTGAGTCAAAGAAAGGGTCGGACAGATTCGCTTTTTGTCCCGAGCAAGCCGCTCAAAGCGCTTAGGAAGCAGTCTGGTCGCTGTGTAATTAGGATCTATTCCCCTCTCTCTGATAGTTGGTATAGACCGGAATATTGCGCGAGAACTTTGCAAAGCGGATAGAGCGTGTATCTTGCTATCGGGATGTTGAACTCCTGGCCCTTCTCACATCGCCACCACTCCCTTCCCCCCAAGACAACCAAACACCCCGGCCTGTCCATACTGCGCACAAATACCCATCGCCAGCCGTTGGTGATGTAGCCAAATATCACGGCTCAGAGTAGAGCATTGCTTGGCACCCAAACAAGAGATCTACGAAGCAGATGTAGAGGTTATTATCTAGATATTCGGCTTGCCCTCAAACTGCCCTATTTGCATGTTGCGGGCCCCGGCGGGTTGAGGAGTGACATGGTCAGGACCAAAGCTGGGTGCTAAGCCCCCTACACGCTCAAGATTATAGCCTTAGAACTACTTGGTCAAGACCAGACTCCTTGATGACGGGACTTAACTAGATTGTAGTAGGTTTGCAAAAAGTAAACTTCCGATAGAGCCGTGCTCCGTATTTTCCAGCTCCGGTCTGACACTGGCATACTGAGTTGATTATGTCATGTGGGGTTGAAGATGGCAACTCCAGCCGCTCACCCCACGGAGGTTCCGCATCATTGTTATCATTTCTCCCTCTCCAATCCTACTGTGCCCTGCATGTCAGTTGAGGATCGGTAAATGCACTCGACGCGAACTAGGACGCGGTCTGGATGGTATCATGCCTTTCGATTTTAAGTCGGTTATGGTGAGCTGACTGCATCCACAGTCTGCCCTGTCGCAGCCGTCGCAGGAAATGTGTGATGACGCCTTTGGGTTCCCAGCAACCTCGAAGGAGCAGTGCTTTGACTAATGTAATGTACTCCATTTAGGTGATGAAAGGCGCCCGCAGTGTCAACGCTGTCAAGCGCGTGGCTACATCTGTCAGTGGGGCCTGAAGGCCTCCTTTCATCCCTCCCGTAGCATCCGGTTATCAACTCCCGAGAGGGCAGCCCTCCTAGAAATCGAGAAGGGGCGGCAAGAATCCGCGACTGATATACAGAGTGATAATGAGAAGTCGTTGCTGGAGCCTTCCGCGCCCATTGTGAGTTGGCCCCTCACTCTTTCGACGCCGTTGTGTAAAGAGACAGAATGCCTATGATCTATCTTTCTGGTATACCGTCGCTGTTGTTAGCATCACCAAACTTCTGGAACACCTCCAATTTAGCCCTGATAGCCTCCAGGTCAAGGCCTTGTGTGCTCTGTTACAGTTGAGAGAACGATGTTGACCAGTGAGTGTTTAGATTATAGATGATACTGCAGAGGTAGTCAGGTATTATCGGGAGCCTTCCGATGGCTTTTCAGCGTATAGCTCTGATCCCTTACACGACGAGTTGCCTAATGAGACCCGTCCGGGGGACGCCCGGACGGAAGATATTCAACCTTCGCTCAATATTGCCTCATATGATCCTGTCCGGGCGAACTCAAATGCCAGAAGGTCGCTTGTTAACGAGGTCACTATCGAAAGTCTGCTGTCCCCCGCGCAGTCAGGTAGTATAAGCGATATCGGTGAGAACAGGCTGCGACAAGATGATCCAGTACAAGTGCGGCAGTTGGTAGACAGTCCTAGTTCATATGCGCTGCCGTTCTCTTTAGGACTGGCTGCGTCTCGGAATGCGTCACGGTTGCCGGAGCCCTCAATGCCAATAACAAGCGAGGAAAGTGCCCATTTGTTCTCGTTATATCTCTATGAGACTGGGACTTGGTGTGAGACCACTGATTCGGAGAGGCATTTCACACTGAGCAGTGTCCACCAGATGCTGGCTTCGAAATCGTTCCTTGCATCGGCCATCGCATTGGCATCGCGACAGCGAGATGCCGTCCAGGACCAGCAAAGATCATTGACACTCGAGCTATATCAATATACAATTCAACTCTTGCTCCGTCAGGATCCGGATGAAGCAAGCGTAGCCGTGTTGGCGACTTGCACTCTTCTTTGCGTCTACGAGATGATGGCGTCATGTGTGTGGGAGTGGCGGCGTCACCTGAAGGTTTGTATCCGTTGTCTACATGTTTTTTTTTTATCAGCTCACCCTGTGGAATTTACAATAGGGCTGCGCCAGTCTCTTGCATTCTCGAAAATGGAACGGTTCATGTAGCGGCATTGTAAAGTCCTGCTTTTGGGCCTTCGCTCGAATCGGTATGTGGCCAAGATGAAACCAAGCCCACTTTAAAGGCACCTGTCTGATTCTGTGTCTTTTGCAATAGACGTCTGGGCTGCCTTCATTAGCTGCAAGCGGCTTCTCATTCCTACTGACTCGTGGGTCGATAATAGCTCCATTCCGTTGGTAGCAGCCAATGGCACGCTTGACGATTATTGCAACTTGGCAATTCTGGTCTTTGCACGGATCGTGAATCTCCGAGCGGACGCCCAGCTTTGCCATAGGGATAGCGATTCTGTGTACTACTCTTCCGTCAAAAACCTCTGGGACGAACTTCAAGAGTGGTGGCGCCTGCGTCCCAAAGAAGTTTGTCCCCTACTCAGGGAGACGCCGATGGGCACGAATCCTTTTCCAGCTGTGATATTTTCCCGGTCATCTTCCAGTATGTTGTTCCAACTGTTTCCTCTGATACTACCGTTGACCAAATTGTATGGACAGTTTGTGGTAATACCTTTTATCATGCTGGCTCTATCTTACTCCTTCAATCTGGCTGCCTCAGGAGAAGAGTCGAGACTCCCGACTCTATAATGGTAAGCAGATCTGGACTACTTGGCTCATGGAGATTGAGAAGAGACCATACTTCTCCACGTATGTCCTGATAGCATCTGATAGCTAATGGCCCAAATTTTAAATGGCAGAGTCCTGTCTGGCATGCTCGTGAACTTGGCGGGATTTCTGTTTCGAATATTTCACAGTATGTACCTCGCTGTTGCAGTTTGCGGAAAGAGCTGACCAGGTCCGCGGAATACAGTCCTAACTGGGTTAATCAATTACAACCTCTTTATATTGCTGGCACGGCGTTTTCAGAAAATCACGTCAGCTTTTTCCAAAACACAACCGGACGTGACCAGTCCACGCGGGTTAGCTCTCGCCTAGAGGTCCCTTGGGGCCGCCCGGTTCCTCCAGTGGCCGCAGATATAAGCGAAAAGTATGCCTCCGAGAAGATCGCGCTTTTAAAGCAACTGGCAAGAATTGAGTCTGAGACAGGCTGGAAAACCTCAGACCGGGCCTCGGAGTTGCGGAACCTCTGGGGATTTCGGTAGGGATGAGAAGTCATTATGGTCGGGTACAGGTTGCTCAGCGAATGACAATCGACCAATGGCCCCAGGCATGTATTTATGTTATCAGGCGGCACACTATTTGACAACATTTTTGATGATCGAGTGGTCGATGAAGTATACAAGACAGCTTTGCACATATAGATCCGGGAACGCAATCCTTGTATGCTCCAGCCAATCCAGGTAGCTCTTGAAACTGAGTGGATCGTCGGTCAAGCTGTAAACTGTAATTTTTTCGGCCAGATACAAATTCTTCGCGTTTAACGTGCCAAAATTAAGCGCATTATCCCATTCAGCCATCTTCCACTTTGTTTGTGGGAGAATCATCAACAAGCTTATAAGCTAAACCCTAATGCCCCGGCAAGGACCGAGTCCACTATATGACCAACGCAATACTCAATCCATCCCCATAAAAGCGAGAAGAGACTAAGTATGACTCGGGAGTTCTCGCAGTACCATAAGGTACTTGAGCGGTGAGTATCTCACTCTTTCCCTCGTGCTTGGGCAGTGCTGATTCCTCCTATGGGGAGATCGATCCATTCCACTGTAGGAGAATGTACATGTTGAGCAAATTGTCCACAGCATTTGTCGAAGGGCGGCCGTTGACGGTTGACCCAGTCAAGTTAGTCCGAATCTGTTTAGACATAATATGGCATAGAAACCACCCTCAGCGATATCCTCATAGTACAAATTTCCAACTTATGATTTCAATGGAAGTTTCTGTGTGCGTCATATTGTTTCTAGGCGGAGATAGATCGTGGGTGTGTGGGTAACTTCTCCATCCTTAGGCGTTCCCTTCATTTACCCTAAGTGTAGCTCGTGATATAGGTGAATAACATGATTCATTCACAGTACCCAGATAATAGACTCATACCCTCTTCAGCTGAGAGGTAAGCTAAGACCAAATCCAATCAGCTTAAGAGGCCGAAATAGTTGATCGTTTCCTTGCTCGCCACCAGAAGTGTTCTCTAGTAAGCTATTGTGCCTTCAAGTAGCCATGACACATAACAGGACTCGGTTTGGCACACGATGGAAAAGGTGAAGATACTGGCGGTTTGTTGATTTGAAATCCAGACGCAGTGGATCAAGAATTCGTTCGAGGCAAGTGCAGCCGCATGAGCCAAGCCATCCCTGCCAAGCCCACCATCGCTATAAGATGCCGACAGCAAGTCTAAGCGCCCGGTCCCACTCGGTAGACCCGACATGGCGATATTGTAGAGTAGCATTAAAGTGACGTACTGCTGGCGATTATCAGAGTTGATTTCAAATCACACCGTCCCGCTAACTGTAAATAAAGAGCATATAGAGGCAGAGATACGACATTTTCGCGCTTTGGACGCATATAAAAGTTGCAGCTTCTGGGAAGTTGAAAGCACGTTGCAGCAGATCTCCGCCTTGACAAGAATAGCACCCAAGGACATTGACAATGGCTCCACCTACCGCTACAGCTCTCGTGACCAGGGCTGGCAAGCTGGCCAGAGAAGCCATTCCTGTGCCGACTCCGGGCGAGCACCAGGTACTGGTGAAGATTTCACATGTAGCTCAGAACCCAACGGATAGTAAGTATTACCCCCTCCCCCCGATCCATTTCCGTACCGTTAAAATAATAGAGTGCTAAGTCACCAACTAGTTCAATCCCTCGATGCTGATGCCTTTGGCGACGATGCGGTGCTTGGTTGTGATTTTGTTGGTACTGTCGAGCGGACGGGCGACAAAGTGAGCAGGGTCAAGGCTGGCACCGTGATTGCTGGTCTAATCTGGGGAGGTCAGTCACCCATCTTGGACCAGACTTACTCCATTCAGGATATAAACCTCCGTTCGAGCAGGTGAGATTAAGAAGCTGGGTGGCTACAGCGAGTACACCCTCGCAGATGAGCGTATTTGCTTCCCTTTGCCCGAAGGCGTCACGCCCGAGCAGGCCGCAACAGTACCCCTCGCCGCGTGCACAGCGTTACTCGCTCTATTCTCCAAGGATTGTCTCAATATCTCTCAGAATTCTGGAGAGACCGTCCTTATTTGGGGCGGAACTTGTGAGTTGAAATGGTGCAGTGAAGCGTATGTGTAGCGTGGAAAGACTCATACATGACAGCAAGCGTCGGGCTTTATGCTATCCAGATTGCCAAGTACTACGGTATTAACGTTATTACGACTTGCAGTACCCGCCATCACAATTTCGTCAGGTCCCTTGGTGCCACTGTCGCTCTCGACTACCGCGACGCAAGTGTGGTGGAGAACATCAAGGCTGCTGCGAACTGCAGTCTGAGGTACGTCTTCGACACTATCGGCAACGACTCATCTTCCGCTACTTCATCGCAGGCAATCTCTGAGCAAGGCGGTATCCTGTGCACTGTTCGTCCGGGTAAGGCTTTCACCGAGAATGTGACCAAGCAGACTAAGGTGACGGATGTTCTGGTCTGGACGGCGTTCCTAAAGGAGCACAAATACAAGGAATTCTACTGGCCGGTGAGTTCGTCTTCGAGGGTCGACATTTACCGTCTTTTATTGATTATATTTTGCAGCCACACAAAGAAGATCACGAGCTGTCGGCAAAGTTTTTCGATGCACTGCCGAAGTTGCTCTCTACCGGAATCATCAAGCCGAATACCCCAAAGCTTTTCGAGGGGCTCGAGTCCGTGACAAAGGGATTTCAGGAGTATCGTGACGGGGTTATCTCCAACTATAAGATAGTGTACAAGATCTAAGGACTTGAGACGAACAGGCATGAGGAACTGTCGCGGTCTCTCGATATTGTCAGTGTGCCTTGAATATATCGATGCTTACTAAATAACATCAGTTCTATCTGCTACTATTAAAGCCTAGGGCTGACAAGTATGACTGGTAATATCATGAGTATAAACCACTCGAGTCAACTTGAAGTTGTTATGGAGATGATTATCCAGATTACTTATCTGGTCAAACATGCATTGACACGCCTCGTCCTGCCATATCGTCCCACGTCTCAGTATGCAACTAGTTATATGCCGCTCAACAGCGATATCTTCCTACAGACTTCCGAGTCGAGCCACATCGTCCGCGCAGTCAAACACCCACACGCAGACTCCCTATATATATATCTGCAGGTGCGGCGGCGCGTGGTCGTCGTTGCCAACCTGAAACCCTGTTAAGATGCGTGGGGGTCAATCAGGTAGGGTTGAGAAGTTGGATAATGCGACGGGGGTGCTAAATTGACGATTCTATACTCCGTGCCGGTGAACAAAATCTCCATTGTGGCGTGCGCGTCTATTTGTTTCTGGCTCATGGAATGAAAATCTGACATCGTTTTGCCTTTTTGGAGAGCGGTGCTGTGTCCGGACAATGCAGTAACGGTACATATATACCGCTAGGATATGAGGATATATGAGAGTCTCTATCTACTAGTACTAGCGACCAGATGAAGATAAACTTACCCGGAAGTACGTAACACCCGTTTTGATCATAGAGAAACATTTCATCCAATATTCTTATTCGCATGAAATCGTAATCCAAGCAGTTAAGTTATAATCTTGTCTATATAGATAGATAGAGAGATCTGTTTTCTATTACATTCCAGTTCTCTTTCCTTAGGCAACCAGATCATGATAGAGGACACGAGAGGGAGTGAACCTACTTCAGCCTGTAGGATTGTGGGGAGGGGTATGAGAGTCGGGTTCATCTAGTATTGTGGATTAGATCGATTACACTGAAGATGGCTTGGTCGCTAGTGTGTTGCGTCGGTGGCTTGATGTCTCATGTATGTATGTAGGAGAACCATAAGGCATATTGTTTTGGGATTCTTTTGTCAGGGTTGGTGTCAGGGTGAGAGATTGCGGCTTTTAAAGAGATCTGTGGAATGAAATGGCGGATCTTATCATATGTCCCTCAGTTCAACATGGGTATACTGTCTACAGAATATTACATAGATATAGATCCATCGTAAGCCGTTAAATTAGCCTATACATACTAACAAAGAAAAAGCAATTGACGCAAACCCGGTCAGTAGACACATAGATAAGAGTAGAGGAAGAAAGAAACAGACACCAAAAGGTTATATCTACTATATGAAAGTTTCAACTGTACGGAGAAGGGAAAGATAAGCCAAGTCCTGTCGTGATGAATGTACCTGGGACGACAGATACAGGATTATAAACAACTCCAAGCAGATCGGAAGCAAAAAGAAAAAAAATTGTTCAGGAAACTATAGACAAATCAAGCGCGACCCGCTTAGAACTGGTCAATGCAACCCCAGTACTGCTCAACGTCGTACTCGCCGGGGTCCTTCCACAGGTCGTTGGCGTAGGAGAAGAAGACCGACAGCTCACCAACGGACTCGCGGATGCCCTTGATGGCGGTAGCCTGCTCGGTGGCACCGGGGACGGCAGCACCGTTGGCGTTACCCTTGCTCGGCCAACCAGTCTCGAGGTTGATGACATCCATGTTGGTACAGATCTTCTTCAGAAGAGCGACCTCGGAGGCGGCGAAGGTACCGGCCTCAGCGGCAGTGGTCTCCGAGTTGAAGAAGGGGTGGATGTTGGCACCCAGGACGTCGACGACAGAGCAGAGGGTGCTGCTGCCGTACTCCTGCCAGATGTCAATGGGCTCAGTGGTGGTGACCTGGCCAGTGTAGCCGGCAGCCTCGAAGCTAGACTTGCAGGAGGAGATGAAGGTGGCGAGCTCGCTGGCGGTGGCGTAGCCGTCGGAGATGGCCTCGTTACCGACAACGATGAGGGTAACCATCGACCACTGACCCCACTCGGTGATTGCAGTAACCTGGTCCTGAGCACCCGAGGTGCCGGTGCTGGAGATGTAGACACCGAGGATCAGCTTGAGGCCGTACTTGCTGGCAGCGGCACCAACGTATTCGAGGGTGCTGCAGTCGGTGGAGTAGAGACGGATGTGGGTGAAGCCCTTGTTGGCGATGGTCTCAATGTCCGACTCAACGGTGGCCTTGGACTTGCAACCACCGGAGTTGCTGTAGGGAGTGTAGGTCATTCCCATGCTGTTGCCGCTGGCGCTGACGCCAGAGCTGGCGGCGGCGCTGGAGCTGGCCACAGTGCTGGACTGGACGGAGGAAGTGACAGCGGCAGCAGTGGTGGTGGCAGGAGCGGGGGTAGTCACAACAACAGCGCTAGTGGTAGCGGCAGCCGGGGTGCTGGTGGGCTCGTTGGCGTTGGCGAAGGGGCAAGTGTAGGTGTAGTCGGTAACAGTGGCGGTGACAGTGATAGCACTGTGGGTGTATGTGCCGGGGGTGACCGTGGAGACGGTGGGGTAGGTCACGACGGTATTAGAGGGAACGTAGGTGGTGGTGGGAGCAATGGTGTAGGTACCAGCCTCGGGGCAGACGTAGGTGGTGGTCTGGATGATGCTGGTGACGGTGGAGCCAGAGGGAGAAACGGTGGCGTAGGGGCAGGTGACGGTGGTCGAGGTCTCGACGATGGTGGTGACACCACCGTAGGTCTGAGTACCGCTAGCCAGAGAGGTGGTGGTGCCCGCGACA